AGAGAGAGAGAGAGAGAGAGAGAGAGAGAGAAAGAGAGTTGAGGTAAGTCGGTTATGCTCACAAACAGATCAGAGATGATTTAAACAGGAGGCTTGGTTGGTCAAAATCAGGGAGTAAACCGACACCAATAATTACTTAGAGTAAAGTGCAAGAAAACCAGCCCTGTCACTTATGACCTATGCATATTTTCACGACCAAAAAACATTCTATCCTTCAAGCAAATTTATTTCAAGTCAAACTAAATTAGAGCACGCATGTGTAGACTTGTGATAGTCCAAACAGTTGGCAAGCACGTTCTGTCTACGAATCATATTCCCATCTTTTCTCGTATTCATTTTTGCCAAGCCCTGAGAGGAAATAAGTAAATGCTTTTTAACACCCGTGTCTCTTTAGCTAGACAGATCACGTGTCAGGTGAAATGCTAGATTTCTTTTGTGGGTTTTTTGTAAAGATTAGATGAAGTCCTGAGACGCGCATGCAAGACGAGCAGGGGTAACAAATCGCTGACACGTAGCCAAACCACGATATCATGTTAAGAACCGCTTTGTCTATTTGTTCTCCTCCCTACGTCTATGTAGCGATTGCGTAGTACCCCTTCTTCAGCTGCTGTCTTAATGTTTCCGAAAAAATATCTTTTGTCATTCGTGTTTCATTGAGAACAAACCTTACGGAACTTGAAGCAGAAAAATGTCACGGCTTTTTGTGATTTTTGACGTGGATCGTATGTAAATTGAGTTTTTACTTTGCCACACTTTTCGTCAGCCTAGAGTCAAAATGGTGCTTTTAAAAAAAAAGAAAGAAAAGCACATACTAGCGCTGTGATTTGATAAGGTTTTCTGACCCCAAGCGGTGCGACCACGCCTTAAGTGAATATAATTATTATGTTAATATTCAAAGACACAAGCATAATGTAGATTTCCGCTTGAGTTCACATGGGGATGGCTGTGAATGAGTAACCAACTGCTAGAGTCATCTTACAGATAATTAAAATTCCCACCTCCCATACACATCATTGAACCTGTATTCCATTAAAATTGTATGAAAACTTTACGTTTCATTTATATTTGCATAACTTTGAGAATGGGATAAAGCGTAAAAACCGCAACACTGCCTTGTCTAGACTGTGCTAGGTAAACAGAGGTATGAGGTGATTTTAAACAAATTGGTGCACCCAACGTCCAAGTCACGATAGCAAATTTTTTTTAAGCTTAGTGAAAACTCGTATCTAAAAAAAAAATAAAAGGAACGATTAAAGTTAATCCAAAGTGTGTCCAACGTAACCTTTTTAACGAGAGCATGACACATGATACCTTCGAGAACCCTTAGCAATTAAAAATAATATGCCCAGTTTGGATGCTTAGATGCTTAGCTTGTAACAGACTATGTAATTATGCAAAGAGAAAGCATGATTAAATGCCACGGGTATGTTCAAGAAAAAGAACATTAAAACAAATACTTTGTTATAATAATAATGTATATAAATCCACAAATGAACAATCTCGTACATGCATAATATGCGGTGAAAAATTAACCCTTGCTCATATACGCACACAGGAGAAATGACACGCTCTCACACGCAGACACTCACTCACACACATACACACACACGCGCGCGCGCGCGCACTCACCTCTTCTATCTTATTAGAAATGCACGCATATGCACCGTTATAAGTAAGCTCATACAAAAGCATAGTGTAAAATACACAATGCGATCCGTCGGTTAACAAAGTAAAAAAAAAATAGATACAGCGGTATTTGCATGGCTTCTATGTAGCATACTGATAAACAAAAGACAACCTTAACCTTATTTTTTGAAAAATACCAGTATATAATCATCTAGATGCCTTATAGGAAACATTACATTGAAGAAGTTTCGAAGAGTACATAAATGCCATTCCCCTCAAACACACTGCTTCACTTCGCTGTCCTGTTTTCGACCCCAAAGGGCTCTCGTATGACCCGTATTGTAACTACCAGGCAAAGACCTCTACTCGAAAGTTGGCAGTATTTGCGAAACAGATTTGAGAAAGGTTCTTA